GCCCCCCTCTAGACGTCTGACACTTGCCTTTGAATCTAACACCATTGTGTTACTTTCTGGCACATCATGGCGACAGAAGCATACTAACTATAAGTTATAGCTATAGTAACTGAGCATTGAAATTTTTTGGAATCTTTTGGTATTCAAAATGCTGACCCTCTTTGACATCAATTGTTTACAGCACGGTTCTTACGGTTTATACTTATAAAGGGTATTGTGACAAATCTAAGTCTGGGTACCTAATATATTAGCTATACAGATTGTACTTAAAAGGTGATTTATGTTCTGTTTAATGCTCAATAGTAATTTGAAAAACTGGAAATTCGCTCATGTCTAACCCATCCCAAAAAAGGGATCTAAGACCGACCCTTACAACTACAGTCCTATAGCTCTGCATTCTGTTATAAGTAAGGTGATTTAGAGGTGCCTAAATGGCGAGCTTCTGGATTACCTTGAACGTCACAGCTTGATTAGCGACAGGCAGTATGGTTTCCGGCACCTGCGATCCACAGAGGACGTCCTAGCTTACGTCAAGCAATTGTGGAGTAAAGTCATCCAGTCTTATGGTGAGACTTATGTTGTTGCTCTTGACATCACGAAAGCATTCGATCAGCTGTGATATGCTGCCCTTTTGAGCAAAGTTCCATTCTATGGCCTCGCAGAAAAGTCTTGTAGAAGGGTGGCTGACTTTATCTCTGGCCGCAGGATATCCGTCGTAATTATGGACGGGTTCTCCTCTTTATCCCACAACGTCAACGGAAGTGATCCCCAGGGATCGGTCTTGGCTCCCACACCGTTCCTCTTACATATCAACCACCTCCTTTCCTGCACGATCAACCCAAATCACAGTTTCGCTGATCACAGCAATCTACATGCAGGAATTCAGAGTGACAGATGATCTTTGCCGCTGAGCAGGAAAAAAGAAGACTACTTCCTCCTGACAAGAGACCTGGTGGTTATCACTGCGTGGGGACGCAACAATCTTATACAGTTTAATGCTTCCAAAACCATGACTAACCTTGATGAACAAAAAGCGTCCTAAAGCTTATCCGGTTTCGATGGATGGCCGAGCTCTGCCAAAGAGCCATTCACTTTGACAGGTCGGAGTCCGAATCACCGAGGACCTGGTCTGGCACGAACTCATCTCGTCAAGATCGGCAGCTGCTTGGAAAAAGTTAGGCTATTTGTTTAGGGCTCAGAAGTACTTTTGTCCGCATCACGTTCTAACTCTATACAAGGCCCAGATAAGGCCTCGCCTCGAGTATTACTCACACATTTGGGGTGCTGCCGCCCCGTCTACATTATACGACCAGAGGAGGGCTGTCCGACTGATCGATGATTCTTCTCTAACAGACCGTCTCCGGACCCTTACGCACAGTCGGGCCGTCGGCGATGAAGCTCTGTTGTACCGCTACACCAACGCGCTTTGCTCCTCAGAGCTCTCTTCCATGATGCCTCCACGCGATGTGCGTTCCAGACAGACTCGCCTGACTTTGACCTCCCATCCTAGCCGTGTCGTGTTCGTTTTCGCAGTCAAAAACATTGTTTTGTGTGGAATGGACTGGGATACGTCTCGGAGTCCCTCAGAATGTTTTATTTATTTTTTTTGTTACCAGCAATGAAGTTTTTTATGTTTGAATCTTTAATATTATTACACTAGTTAATTATACATGCCACGTACTTATTTTGTTCTCATATAATAAAATATTGCCTATCTGAGGAATTATGAGCATTTTCCATGTGTTTTTTTCAAGCTGGCCTTGACCAGATAGAACACAATGGATTTAAGGAGCAATAATAGGATACATTCTAGAAGTAAAATGATCAGCCCCAGATATCGTTTGTGCCCCCCCCCCCCCTACACGAAATCCTGAATCCGCCCTTGGTATCTATCTACTTAATGCAATTGTATTTATGACATAGCTTCACGTCAGCCTGTATTAACTACGTCAATGTTTAACTTCAGATCGATGATGTAATTCTTGCACCCAATACAGGGTGCTCGAAAAATAAACGGAAATATCTTAGAAGGTGATTCCTTGTTATAAAAATATGAAAAAAAGTTTCTATAAATATGGGTTCGGAATAGCAGGGTTTTCAAGATACAGGGTACTAAATTACAAAAAACTAATATCTTCTAAAATATCTTCCCGATTCTGTTGAAATTTGGCAATATCATTTGCTGTATTAAGAGGCCAATTTAGTCCTAGACAGAATAAAATTATTAGGTCCAGTGGCATCCCGGGGGGCATCTTAGTGAATATTATGGGCAAAAACATGTACGCCACTGCCTTTTTTGCATCTTTAATATTTTTTGTTTGACTCAGCATCTTAAAGTACAGCTTCTTTGACTCTTGCATTTTTTCGTGTCCCACTTCGGTTTCGAGAAATTGTATGAAACTGGACAAAATTGGCTTATTAAATGTTTGCTAAAAAAATCGCAGGAGCCTTGGAAAACAACAATAAAAAAATTAGTCTCTTAATACATCTAATTAATAATATTGCCAAATTTCAACAGAATCGTGTAAATATTTTTACAATAATAATATTATTTTTTTTAATTTATCACCCTGTATCTTGAAAACTCTTGAATCAGAAATTACCCTCTAAAATATCTCCATCTAACACCCTGTATGGTAAAACCAAATTATATTTACTAATATCTTAATTAGTTATGTTGCTCACGTTTTCCTATCTACAGCAGCTAATTAATTATTTGCTGTAATTTCCATGTTTCTGTAGGAAACGCATAAAATTTGTATCGCACGTACTGTTTTTTCCATTGTTTTTACAGTTTACAGCAAAGCTTGTATTGACATGAAAACGTGCAACAAATTCAGTGTGAAATTGGATGAAAAATAGCAATTTGACACACTTGAATCTCGAGTTATTTCGCATCTCTGGCACAGCGTGGGCTGCGATTGATTTATCGGTCCCCACCACCCACTTAGCACATAGCAAATTGGGGGGGGACTAAAAACTGAATATTGAATCGGCTATATAAAAAGAATTACTAATGAACATTCCCTATTGGAAATGTTGAACTTCGACATTCAAGAATGGAACACAGTGTCAATCAAATGACTTAATTGACTGGCGCTACAATACTTCGTCCTCAATTTTCGAATACATTTTCAATGATTTCGACTTGAATTTTTTTCATAGTTACTTTGATTTCATGTTTGAAGGCCTCAACTACCTCTGCATGGTGGGCATGATCGAAGTGTTGTCAGACATTGCTGATATTCTGAAAGGCAAAACGTTAGTCATTGCCATTTATATGGACTTTCAACATTTCGCCAGCTGGCAAAATATGCAGAGGAGTACTTTATTGGTATTCGATGAGAAAAGTTAAGTAAAAGTGATAACTGATAACTTAATTTTATATTAACTTTGTAAAACATTATAATAAAATATCACTCAGCACTGTCGAAAGGTTCCTGAGGGAAATAACTTCTTTTAGGAGCTTTAGACAAGGTGTTTTACTATAAAGTGACTTCTATTTTTATTATTATTATGTCTTTATTGAGTATTGTTATATACAATGCAGAAATCTGCAACAGGGCGAAGTCTAGCCTAAGCTACTCTACTTAACCCTAAATAAAAGCTAACAATGAAGAAAGCCACAGATAATAAAATGCAATCATCAGAAGTGATCAAATACAAAATAGCATAGAAAATATGAGATAATTTGAATGAAAATAAACAAAAGCCTAAGACACAAAACCGCAAAGCGAAGAGTATATAATCAAAAACTATTGAACTATCCATTACATTGACTATTGTAATAAAATTGCCTTACAAGGACTTTAAACATCGGTACAGAACTAAACTTAAGCGCGTCATCGATACTATTGTATATAGTAACAGCATTATATGAAAAAGATTTTCTAAATAAAGATAAACGAAACTTAGGAAGAGAAAGTTTATTAGTGAACCTCGTATTTAAATCATGCAAATCACGCCTAAAGACTAATTTTCTTTTCAGGTAAGCAGGGCTCTGTGATGATAAAATACGGTGAACTAAAATAGAAGTATAATATTTATGAGTATATTCCAGTTTTAACCATTTTAACTCATTTATTTTAGCTGAGATTCGATCAAACTTTTTGAGCCTAAAAACAAATCTACAACAGCAATTTTGTACCTTTTGAAGTCTGTATTTCAAAATAGACGTTAAGAAGGGATAATAAAGCGTGATTGCATGATTTAAAATAGGTAATACTAGGTAATACTTGCCCGCATGAGCGTTTAGAAAAATATGATGTATATAAAAATTATAGGGTCTGATATAAAGTTTTTCATACTACAAATGTATGCGTACTTCCTACGCAACGCCTTCATCTGTTCATAAAAGATTACGTTCAGCTCAAGTTAGACCATCTGAGGAAAGAGTTAGTTACGAACATGTATAAGAGAGAAATTAAACGGATGAAGTCAGTCAAACACGGCTACACAGTCAGTACATATATATTCTTTATCTGCCCTGCCGTTAGTTCATCTGGCAATATTGCTTCTCCCCGGTGTCTGATTGCCCAACACATCAAGCGTGGAACTAAGGCCAAACTTTTTCGTCCTTGGCATTGTAGTAACCTTGTGTGAAAATTTCATCGAAATCTGACCGGTACTTTCCAAGTTGTAGATGTGTCACGGTTTAGCGAACAGACAGACATACCAACTGAAGTGATGTCGTATAAGATCAAAAAATCGTATCATTTCATTTCCGAAAATTTCCGCGATTATTATATTTGTTAGCCAGTAGGCGTGGGAAGAAAAATAAGTGTAGTATAACTTTTGGATAAAACTTTTTGTTCTGAAGGCGGTGCAGAATATTTCTTCGTAGCAATGTTTAACAAAGATGTAAAAATCAGCCATAAGAATGAAAGTCTACTTAGTGTCCCTTTTACCTAACCTTTCTGACCAGGTTTACCAGTAAATTGAACCTCTTTGACGTGGACGATCGCTGACTAATAACCCTAGATTCTAGATTTTTCTTGGACCAAGATAATTGCAAACAGAATTTACAACCCTGTTTTTTCAAAATTGTTATGTGGAAAACGCCTTAACGATTTCCATGGAGCAGTTTTCCGCATAATCTGAATTGTACAGCCTAGTTTAGAGTTCTTTTCCGCATCTCGTCATAACCAGAAACGAGCAAATGCCGTGCTTGTCGTCATTAATCTAAAAGAAATAATTATTTGCGTATTGACACCTGTGTACATTATAAATCATTGCTACTATGTATTTTAGTAATGAACATCGTTCGGGAAAAAGTGGTATTAAGAGTATGAACATGTATAAAAAGCCTGTCAAGATAACAAATAGCTTACCTTACGATCAAGTGTATGAAAAAATTAATGTAGCTGAGTTTGACGAGTAGTTTGGATAACATCTGTGTGGTATAGCGATATTGTATTTGTTTCTTTATTCTCCATTCTATTTTATCCATTTTTGTTTGGAAAGTACATACATCATTAACTGTCACTGTCCTGCTAATGACTGATCCTTTGTGGCAAAAACTAGGTTTTTTCTAGTTCAGTATAATGAGATCAACAACATTTCCAAAATTTCTAGAGCGGAAAGAACATCGCGAAATAGTATAGAAAGCTACTAATATTGCTAGTCTGCACTGTTGCCGAGATACATGTAAATGAAAACGAGTGTTTTTCAAATATGTTGTAGTAAGGTGAAATTAGTATTCTAGGATACTTTACTTACTTAAAATGAATCATTGGTCCCTATGTAACTTGGAAGGTACTGCTGGGTCTCTGATGCAGATTTGGCTCAATGTTACTATTATGTCACGCACAAAGAAGCTTCTGAAAATGGAATCGGTAACGGAAGCTTTGAAAACCGGTCAAAGTTGGTGCTTGGGAGCTGCAGGTGGTGAAGCAGAATATACTTTTGTTATATTTACATAGGTTTCTCTTTACATTTGCTCCCAAAACTTGGAGTGATAGAGAAGTGTTTTCAACGTTCGCATCTGTCGGAACGGCTGTGCTGCGCCGCAGTCTCACCGATGGGTGTTTTGTAGTCGGTGGTGGCTGCCAAGGTACTGTCGCTGGCAGGAGCGAGCCTCGATATTAGTCAAAGCAAGGGAGTCGGTACTGTTTAAAGGGCAGAGGATTTCTATGGAAAAATTTTATAGGTCTATGTGACTAACTTGATCTGTTTAATATTTCTGTTGTAATCCTTTATTCACTGAAGTTAGTATTGAGTTGTCAAAATTCCTCTTTATTGTGCGTCGTTTCGGTCTCAATGGTAACTTTTTCTAATTACAATTAACACTTGTCACAATATATTTTGCTTACCTGGTTTTCAGATGATACTTCGTTTGGTTTACCCTTTATTCAAGCATTCCTATACAGTGTGATACTACAATAGTTTGAACGAACCTGTAACATGCTGAAATTGTGCGAAGCCATCATTACAATGTTATCATCGCGCATTACCAGCAAAATTCGGAGCCGCCGGGGTAGGTATTCCATTCCCAAAAACCTTCCAAAACGACAAGTGAGGAGTCTTTTTGGTGTGCCAGATACGTCACCCTCGTGCGTCGTTCAGAAAACATCAAAAGTCCCTGAAAGCACGAAAACCCGCCTAGAACAATTGTCGCAACACAACGGTTAATTTTTATGCAATCGTCGACTATAAATGGTGCATGTGCATTGTCCATGGATCTGAAATTCGAGGAGCAGTAGTTCGACATCTAAGGGGAACCATGTTGCTTGTCTTGAGATGGCAAAGTTTTCGACGCCCAATAACAAAACATAACTAAAAACCTGGAAGTAAAGAAGTCATGATCCATCAGTTGCTATAGAGAATAACACTGAGACCTTTCCTTCAATAATACTCAACCAAATTGGCTAACATTCCATGAAATAACTTTCTAGTTATTTCATGGAAGGCAGAGATACATATCATATTAGAAAATTCCCCATGTTCCTATATGTACACATATATAACATCGCTTATCAGCGGCAGCTCCTTTTCTGTGGGGATCAACAAAACAACTAATCCCGAAAATGCTCCCGATAAAGCCCAAAACAGGCGCATTTGTCTGGAAAACCTTTTAGGCTGTGAAATACGTCTGCGATTTGAGTGTATAAATATATCGACCACTTATCTGAGATCCTTATTTATATGTAAAACAGGCCGGGTGTGGAAAAATATGGAGAATAAATGACAAAACCAAAAACGATAAAGTGAAATAGGAGTTCAAGGCTTTAATATATACCTCCAGGGAAGCGTAAAGCTGATACCGCAATTTGGGGCGTTTTTTTGGATGTGCAAAATGGGACACTACTAGGCCTGAAGGGGCATACTTACATGCAATATGATCCTCCCGATCTTTTACTGAAGGTAATGTTATTTTAATAGAATGCTTCGCCAGACTTTACACCTGTTTTTCCTTCCTTCGTTTAGATGTCCCAAGATCCCTGTGTTTTACAGGTTTGATCATGTTTATGTATTTAAAAAAAATGGCGTAAAAGTACATCGACTATGTACTTTCCACGCAACTCTGGGTAATTCGCCTTCTAATATGCAGCATGTATGATATATTCTGTATATACGAGGGATGTCATTTAAGTTTTGCATATGGAAATAAAACAACACGGTGGGTAGTTCGAAATGACTTTATTGTTTTTCGAAGTACTTATTCCACTCGTTTGCTGTCAGATCCAAAACGGCATTTTTGAATGCGTCAACTGCTTCTTCTGGTGACTGGAACCTTGGACCACGCATCTGTTTTTAATTTTCGGAAAAGTAAAGAAATCGTTAGGTTTTAGATCGGGACTATATGGAGGGTGGTCCAATAATTCCACGTTTTCTTCCGTTAAATACTGCCTTGTTTTTTGGGCTGTTTGCGAGCTTGCATTGTCTTGGTGGAGGATGATTCTTCTTTCGGCGTTGATTTTTCGAAGCTCGGTGATGACTTTTGGCAAACAAATGGTGGTATACCAATCCGCAATAACAGTTCTTTGCTCATTAAGAGGAATTGTTGCAATTTGACCCGCTCTTGACACAAATGTCGCGACCATCTTTTTCGAAACACTTCGAGAACGGATGACTTTTGTTGGCTTTTCTTCACCTTGGAACACCCAAACAGCCGACTGTCGTTTATTTTATGGTTCATCACAGTATATCCACGATTTATCACCACTAACAATGCTGAACACATTTTTTGAGTTTCCGGATTTGAAACCGTCAAGCGTTTTTTGACATCAATTAACCCTGGCTGCTTTCTGCTCTTCAGTCAACAGGTGGGGTATCCAGCGAGAAACTAATTTTCTTACTCCTAATTCTTCATGTAAAATTTTTTTAATTGAGGTCCTTGAGATCTTCAAGGACGCCTTAATCTCGCGATATGTCACATGTCTATCTTCAATGATGAGTTTGCGCACAGCATCGACGTTTTCTTGGGTGACTGCCGTTTTTGGTGCACCCACCCTGGGATCGTCGCTAAGACTCACCCGTCCACCTTTGAGGTCTCCATACCAACGGGAAATTGTCGACTGATGTGGCACTTCGTTGCCGAAAACAGACAGTAACTCAGCAAGGCATTCTTGTTGCGATAATTGTCTCTGAAAGTTGTAATAAATTATAGCGCGAAAATGTTCTCGGTTGAGTTCCACTTTTCTAATGACTTGGTGACACTTAACAATTCACTGTTGTGAGAACACTGCACGTATTGTTCTGTAACTTTGAATTTAAGTTTACTAAAGGGTGAGGTTAAGATTCAGTACTGACGTTCGATCCGTGAGGCCTACTATGTTTCTATATGCAAAACTTAAAAGACATCCCTCGTAGTATCTAAATAAATTCTGCACACTATGGTATCTTTTGTTATTCACTGGTTATGAAAATCCTTGTACCTTGACAGACCGTAAGGTAAAATGAGTATAAGGGAAAAATGGTATTGTCGTTCTGATATCGTTAGTATTGGTTGGCCATGGAAACCTTTACAGCTGGTGATGTAACAGAATGATCATCATTGAATTTCTAGCTTACATTTTTTGTAATAATCGGCTTTGATTATATATGATGCACAATATCTGGAAAACTTTCGTACGCCTGGGTATCATTACATCGTTGACACGCTGTGGCTGGAGCATCATCGGCGTTGCTGAATTTAGATCGGACCTTCTCACAGGCGTAAATGTAATGCGTGACATTTTGTTTGAACAATTCTTTTTTTTTTCGTTATTCCCCTAGCTTCACCAGCATTGGATCGGTTTTCAAGAACCACAAAGCAATTCCGTCCTTGTGTGGAAATTCCACCAAAATCCAAGTAGTACTTTTTAACTTATGGACGGCCAAGGATTACGGTAAAAACCTAATATCTCCTTTTAATTTTTTTTTTGGGATTAGAATTCCTCGACATTGGCGTGGGAAGTAAAATATAAATCGGCATCAAGCAATACCGGTGGTGGGACTTACACATTTCGGCTGAGATCGCAACGTTGTCGGGTTGTCGATAAAGCAGACGAGACAGTGCTAGATCGCAACGTTGTAAAATGGGTGAGAAGATAATTCAACAATAACAACTTACAATGCATAAATAAATATGTTTTTGCCCATAGAAGGACATTGCTTGTACATGGGTCAATCATATGTTGGAACGTGATTGTCCAAAAACACAGAAAAGTAAAACTAAGAAAACACAACTGTATCGATCTACCTGATAGGTTTGATCCATTAAATTACCTTGTCATAGACTTTTTGCAACTCTTACCTAAGAGCCGAACATAATATTTTATAAACCTGGGAATAGCAGAGTCAACCTACTTGACGGGACTTTTTTGTCAGAAATCCAACCAATATAAGTTTGAAGACTCCGCAAGGTAGAGTTTTGCCTCCTTCGGCGATACACGTAGTTGTTGCGTGTGGTTGAAGTAGTATTTATAATGAAACGGTCATTGTGAGAAAGGCGGGACTCTACGGACTTAAGGGAGGGGTGGCCTGTTAATTAACTCTGTGGCTAGGGACCAGAGAGACGGCAGCCATCGTGAGGGCATCCCTGGAGACGATCCTGTAGGACAACACACAAACGTCGACGAGCCAGGACGTAGGATTGTCGCGTCATGCCTCCAAGCAAGGATCTCTATTTACTCCCAAGCCAATACTGGCCTAGAAAGGGACCATCATTTGATATGAGGAAGCGCTTTAGTATAATAAACGTGGACAGAATGATAATGAGACATTCCTTATTAAACGCAGGAAAAATAGAGTCAAGTAGGTGTACTAGCTGCATATCTAATGCGACACAGAAGCACGACTCCTGATAATATGACAAGTTCGCATTTTCCACTCTTCTCTGTTTGTCGCTATTTGCACCCATCTAGATACCGCTTGCTCCTGGATATCATCTGCCCATATCATTTAAAGTCTTCCTAAGCATATTTATGAAGTCTCCAATTTCTGATAATTTTGTTCCATCTGTATTCATTTTCTCTAATATTAAAGCAGGCAAATCTC